TAAGAGCTAAGTTTGCGATGTGTTAATATTAACTGAATTGTGGGTCGAGTACGCCTAAACCACCTACCTTCAAAAAGGACCCTTACTTGTTCGAGGCCCTCTGTAGAAGAAACGGGAGAATTTGTCAGGGGTTTACATTGTAGCAGTTCCGATCAGGGAGAAAAGGGTTAAGGTATCCCATGAAATCGGTAGCTTGGGCTGAGAACCGAAAGCCCAGAGAAACGTCCAAAGCTTAAATGTTGTGACTTGTTTGCTTCGTGCTGAGGGTTGATCTTACGGCTCAGGGGTCTGCGTGAAGGCTTGTTATTGCTCAGAGTTGAAGGTTTTTACGTGTTCGGCTTATGTACGTTTGTGGTGAAAGCTCGGGTTGCAGGGCTGAGGGCTCTGGGTCCGCGGCGATATTCAACAAGGGCCTTACTGAAGGTTCGGCATCGGTTTAAGTTGGGGATGTGTTTACAGCCACCCCTACTAACTGCGACCTCGGTGTCAGGCGGCCCGAACATGCACTCAGGTGTCCGGGGTTATCCACTGAACCTCGGACCCACCTCCCAGCCCTGACCTGCAAACACTGCAGACCGTCAATTTGAAAACTCATCCTGCAAGACCCCCAAACCCTGGACCCTATAAAGCCCAAACACTAACCCCGAAACCCTCAAAACCCCTCTGAACCCTTGACCCACGGCTAGCCTGGCAGTGTGATCGTTGGGATCGAGAGCATCTGAGATTGTCTCCTTGGCCGGTTGTCGGGCCAAGGAGAGGCTGGCGGTCGGAGTTTCAATTGTAATTGAACTCACTGTGAGTAGGGTTAACGCACCTAACAGCCTAAGCATGAGCCTCTAAGTCGGGCTGAAGTGGAGTTGATTGTGGGGGTTCGGGACAAAGGATGTCAAGCCTGAACAAAAACGCAGCTCGCCTGTATACGCAGCTTCGAGAAAGAAAATCTGGTGCCCCTGAACCCTAAACCCTAAAACGAGGGACGGCAACCTCACATGTTGTGCTTTTCGGAGCCGGGGCGCATTCCCGTTCATCTCGCGACGGTCGGAAAATGCGCCGGAAGCATGGCTCGGGCATATGTGAGTAAAAAATACTGAGGAATGGTAAGAATGGCGGCCTTGCATTCAGAGTCGCTGCATCCAAACTGTCATGGTTTGATCTCAAGTGCTTCCTATCACTTAGTTGGTTTTGTTTTAAGGGCTCCTTTTCGAACTCCAGAGCACTTAGGTTTTAGGGTCTAGGGTTTGGGTTGGATCACTTGCTTCTTGCTTTTGTTCCGACTTCCGACTGCGTGGTTTGGGTATTAAGAGAGCAATACACACTATCAGCAGCAACACTTAGGTTCAGATGATCTATGTCCATATGGGAGTTTCCGAAAAATTGGGACCCTGATATCGTGCCCTAAAAAGTAGGATCCTCATTATAAGGACAACAAAATAAGGTACCCCGGCATAGCTTCTTGTCTGCTTGCAGCCCCATGGCATCGTGTCCTCCGCTCTTGGGGGTACATCCTCCTTTGTGCTTGAAGCAAAATCACTTCGAGCTGTATCAAATCAAACTGCCCCATGACCCCTAAACACCAAACGAACTAAACCCTGGACAACAAGACAAAACGGTGGGGCGGGGGGGCTGATTGGGACCTGCAGCAGCTTTCAGCCACTAAATCCAAAGCAATAATCTTGTAGGAACTGTAGGAAACGTTGGTAGATGTGGCTGTCAGTGTGAGGGAGAACTCTAAACCCTGAAAAGGGCATGCACTGACGAGACCTTTGACGAGACCTTGGTAAGTGGAAGCATGACGATGCTAGAAATGGCAGCCCTTTGAGCCTCTAAGAGCTCGTTTTAAAGGGCTGTTACCATAAGACATCTACGATACATGGGTCTTTAGCGGGATCTCTCATTCTTTGTAAGACCTCGATGCCTCGGTCGAGGACGGTGTACTCCAACTGCAGTGCCATGCTCTGCATGCGGTCAGGGCTCCGACAACGTCGCCGGACTCTCTAACCTTACCTTGGGCTAGTAAGGAATGGAGGAATCGGGTACAATGAGAACTACTATTGCTACGATTACTTCCATGCCCTGCTAAACAAAAGTAAGTAACCCCTGAACCCTGCACCCCCAACTACAAATCCCAGAAACCCTGGATCTCCAGCCGTAAACCCAAGACCTCTCCAGCCCTACCTGGACCCTAAATCACCTACCTTCTTAATGACTTCTACAAGGAAATCATAACAAGGAGCCCTAAAAAGGTAGGTCCTTTCGGGTCTAGGTAAACCCTCTAACCCTAAGCTGGCAGCACCTCCGGCGAGTCGGCTTTGGGTGCAGGAGCTTTGGCCTGAACAATGAGAACAAAACTGCTTCAAAGTGGTCTTTTTGTTGAACGCCTTTGTCCATCTGCAGGTACAGCCAGTGATCCCTCCAAGAGAAGGCGTGTTCTGGATAAAAGGCTTTACTTCAAGGTTTGTTTAATTTGTTTAGGGTGTAGGGTATAGGGTTAAGGCTTGGACCAAGGATGCCTTTAGGGCTCGCATAGAAAACGATTAGAACAAGGCTTCTGGCACATGTTAACATCTAGTTACATCAAACGACCCTATGGAAGAATCTTGTCAAGTTTTCAGGCTTCTAGATGTATGCTTTGCACTGGGATGAGGCACCGAGGCGAAGTTTGCGCTTGGGGGGGTTTGGGGTTTACTGCAGGGGCCTAAATTCTTGCTTATACTATTTTTTTATTTTTTTGCGGGGGGTTCCTTGTTATAATTATAGTATAACGGGCCCCAAACCCTTTTCTGTTTGTTAAGGCCCCTATGGCACAGAGTTTAGGGCTTCGGAGGTCTTGGGGTTCCGGGTTGGCTTAGGGCTTACGGCTTGCACAAGTGTTTTGGGGTTTCGTGTGCTTGCAGCGTAGCATGTTCAGCCGAAACCCTGGTCATGAAGGCCTACAATATGTTTATCAAAACCGACAATATCATTGTATAATTGTAGGAAGGAACCCTTAACGTGCAAAACTGGCTCCTTTGAGACAAAAAACAATCAAAATCGGAGATCATGCGTGTCCGTGGCTCGCCTGCTGGAGCCTCAGCAATCATGACCGCAGTGTGAAGTGAGGCTACACAGTAAAGGGATTTGATCTTTTGTTGACTGTTAGGTTTGACATACAGTTTGAGGCACAGAAAGATTGTAGTATCCTTAAGGGAGGGGGGTCCAAGGGGGGTATATAGCCTAGTGATCCCCACTCCTCCCTAGTACTCCCTAAGGTTCCCTTACAGTCCCCTAAGGATTCCTTTATACCCTCCCCCCTTGAACCACCCTCCCTTAAGGATCCTATAAAAAGACGTCAGATGTAGACCAACGTAGGGTGTGCAGTGACACCCACCACGAAAGTAACCATATACCAGAAGGTGCGATGCAAGCCAACAATGCCCAGTGCCTCCGGAGCTGTCACCGGAGGAGGCGCTGGGGACTCCTGATAGCAATTGAACTCCTAAGTTAAATGGGGGCATCAGTAATTGAGCTGCTTTGGGGTACAGTTTCGCTATTTGTAATTGATTAGGAGCCCTCAGGAAGAGTATTGATACTTTGTTCAGGCCACCACATTACGTCAACACGACGAAGCAAGGCCTCGGAACGTACTCGGCTCACCGGAATCTTCGCAGGACCGCTGAGTACTCACCATAGTTTGAGACTCCTCTGTTGTGAGTAGAGATGGACTTGGCAAGGAGGAGGTTCCAAATAACATTCATCATAGGTACCACTGTAGTTAGGACTCCCCACCTGTAGCCACAAATTCACTCGACTTAATTAATCTGTCTCATGATCCAGCCAGATTCATCCGAAGCCCAAACCCGAAAATGCCTCCACCTAAACGCAAAACACAACCGGTTTAGCCAGACCCTCGAACGCCGACCAGCCCAAGAACCTCCATAAGTTGTGCATCCAAAAGAAACATTGAAATAATCCGTGAGCCTTCAAGCAAGCTCTATCTATGCCTGCCTTGGGAACTGCCGCAGGCTGAGCCGGTGGCTCCTGCCAGCTGGTGAAAGTGATGCGATCACAACGACTACATACTTCAGCAATCCCTCTTGCTTTTGAGGGCCTTACGGTGGTGACGAGAATAAGGGGGCTGTTGATCAGGATGTGCCTATGCGATCACCATAACTACTGGTCTTAGCAGCAAAATGCTTACCACGAGTGCTTTTATTCTGCTTACCAGACAATATTTCGCTAATTCCGTTTAAACTTCTGCTATCAGCATAAGCCTGAGAGTTAAGCTTAATGACATGCTCTCACTGCCATGGTCTTGCTCAAGGCACTTCAGCTGCTGCGGTTGCCGTTCTAGTTGTGTTGGTCATTGTTGATGTTAGAATCGTGTGGGTGCGCACGTTCTAGATCTTGTATCGCCAACACTAGAGGAAGACTGCTTTGCTTCACTTTCCTTTCCATGTACTGTACTTCACTCTACTCTACTCTACTTTAGTCTACTCTACAACACTATATACTATACTGCAGTACACACTGGACTATACTATACTGGCACCAGGCCTCTGGCCGTGACTTTTGGCGCTCTCATCGGCAGGTGCTATCCAGTCGTGGGCCAAAGACCGACGATGGATTCGGCACCCGGAAGCTATACAAGAGGGTTATTGCATTCACAGTGTGACCGCTCGGAGCTCAAAGAAAACAAACACGGCCAACGCTCCAATTCGAAGCACAGAGCTACTCGAGCTGCTTTTGGGAGCCGGCCTGGGCCCCTTGGGGATTCGTTCTAGGAGGTTCTATGAGTCTATTGCAGGGCTTTGGGGCTCGAAGGGTTCCTTGCTGAAGATATCATTCTCATCCAAGTATAATCGCACGAAGAGTTCGAGTGTACTCCTTTGCCAAACAGTGCCGTCCAGTCGCGGGCCAAAGACCGACGAAGGATCCAGCACAGGCTGGTACAATCTGATGGTGTGCGCAGGGAAGCAAATTCTGCCCAACTGCGCAGGACAAAACAGCTGCTGGGCACATGCTCAGAGTCTATCGCAGTGCCCCGACGTCGAATTTGGGCCGAAGCTCGAGTACGTGCGCAAGGAGCACTCAACCACGAAGTCGGGCTCGTCGGCATCGGGCATCCGTGGCTTCCGCATCTTGCCCATGTCCTGATGGTGGGCAACTTTGGGACGCTCTCGGCAGGGCATGGCAGCGAGAGCCCTGCGGACCAACTCTATCTCACTGCTGTAGACAAGCACATGGTGATCCTGAAGAGTGACACCTGCATCGTGCACATCCTGCGCCAGGATGCCAGGCACCAGGATCTTGGCTCCATTTGCCCATGTCGGAGAGACACCACATCCGGAGTTGCGCACGCGCTCGTGGCACGGCTCTAGCACTGGAGATTGCAGAAGGAGGTTGATGACCTGGGGGGAACGGGCCATGCGCGTCAGCCTCAAGACCACGACGTCCTCGCCGCTGGAGCCTGTTCCACTGTACGGGCCAAGGGTGCGTTTTCCCTGAAGCAACACGTCTGCCACGCTTGCTCCTGCAGGCTGGAAAGCCTCCATCATTGGCGCAGTGATCCTGTCAAAAAAGCATTGCAAATCACGTGCGATGATTGGGTTCCCACCCTTCCAGGCTACAAAGAGCGCACCTGGCACTTCCCTCTTGCCACCCGCCTCCACCTTCTCCTGATGGGGCTTCATATCGAAACGGATGGATGGGAAGTCTGCGAACCGGCCGTCGGCAGCAATGCTCTGCTGCCAAACAACATCCCGGATCTTTGAGTTTGGAAACTGGACAACTGCAATGCTGAGATTGGAATGCTTTTTGACATGGACCCAGGCTCCCTGGCATTCATCTGCAATTCGCTGAGGACGCACATGCGTCAAGAGCCCAGGTAAAGCCGTTGCACGTTCCATCTCCACGATCCCGTTCAAGGTGATGGTGGACTGTAGCCGGATTTCCTGAACAGGACCCGGCGTCTGGCTCATGATTTTCGCAAGCGTGCCAACGGAAGCTGTCGGGCCGCGGCGAAGCTTGATGTAGTGCTGGCCATACACACGTGCTTCGCAGCGCGATGGAATGCTTTCTGGCAGACTCACAGTGGCGAAGACCACCTCAGAGTGCGCGAAGACGGACCCAACGTTGAAGCTGACAACTTTTCCTTGCAGTCCGGCCAAGGTGTCGCTGATGCTCTGAAACTCTCCCAGCGGTATGCCCTGATGCTCGGCGGCCTTTTTCGGCGTCCGACCTCCGAAGAAGAGAAGGGTGACATGCGGGTCTGCAACCTCTTCCAGCGAGTATGCCGCTTCCGGAAGTTGGAGGTCGTTGAGGCCACCGAGATCCTACACCGCGAGCTTCCAGAAGAGGTTGACCTGCTTGCCATCCGACCGGCCCAACATGGCGTCTAGTCTGTCTGGTGCTGCTAGTAGGGAACGGCGGAATGGGGTATGAGGACTATTATTTTGGGGATTATATAGGGACTACTATAGGAATTCATTCCCCCATTCCCTGCCTAGCTGTCAGCGGTGCCCCTTGGTGGCTCTGAGCTGAGGCAGCCATTGATTCTCACGTTAGTCAGGGACAGCAACATGCCTATGTGGGAGCTTCCGAGAATAGGGGACCCTAATGTAGTACCCGGCATAGTAGGATCCTTATTATAGGGACCCCCAATTAAGGTACCCCCAATTTTCGGAATCTCCCATGTAGAGATCGCTGATACCATCGTCATCGTCACCCAACATCGGATATGTAGTCAGACCACCAGACCCAGCACAGGAAAACATTGCTGGTGGGGGAAGTGCGCTACAACGAGAGTTGACTCCATGTTTATACAATCAAACCGGAGGCAGCTGTGAATCTGGTCTGCGATACAAAATGTCTAAACATCTCACCTAGACCTGGAAATGTACGGGGTCATGATCGGGATCAATGCATATGGACCTCACGAGACTGAAATCTTCTTGACGCCGGTTTTGCAGCCTAAAGCCTGCACTCGAGCTCTTCCGCATCCTGACAACGAAAGATACCGTTCACCGCACACAGACTTCATTCGTGGCTTCGGCTATTTGGGGGTAGGCGGCATGATAACGATGCTGGCCTTGGGAGCCGCAGCGGGTTGCATCGGAGGTGCCTGGAAGCTCGTGGGCTTAAGTAACAATGAAGCCGAACTTGCGCTCACCACGCTCACTATGAAGCTTGTCCATATCTACTCACCACTCCTGGCCACGTGTATTCTTTTGGCGTTGTGTTGTTTGTCTTTAGGCCTACTACGACGGCTTCCTTTTTGGTTGCATGTCACACAAGTCTGACCCAGAAAGACTGACTGCAGAAGCACCTAGGACCTAGATTGAATCTACTGCATCCCGAACCATCAGTCAATAACAGCCCTTAACCCATCCTAAGACCTTTATCGGTTCAGTTGCCTGTGAAGGCTTGGCTGCAGGCGCCGGCACCGGAACGGGCTCCTGCATGTCGACATGGGGTTAACATATAGTGTACGCCCCGAAGTTGGAACATGGAGTAGGGATGATTGACGCTAGGCTTCCTTATGCTGTACGTAACATACGGGTAAGGCCAACGATGTTCCACCTTTCTGGCCACTACTACAACTCGAAACTAATGTTAGTTGTTCCATTATAATTAGTCCCTGTCATACGTGTATTCCATGTAGCATGCACCCAAGAAGTGAAACCTTATGTAGTGAAGGCCCCTACATTAGCTTCAGGGTCGAGGACGTCGCTGGGGCCGGTTCAGGATTCAGGATGCAAGGCATCTGCAAGCAAGGCGGTAATACGGGTAAGTGGAGGCTCCGGATAAGACTGGGATTGCGGCTGACGGTTTGGGATCTTGCAGGACCCTCCCGGGGTAAGTCTATAGTGATGAGATGTAAGTTATTATACGGTTACCACATCGCAACAGCTCTGGTTCGAGCCCTGCTGCCAAAACCTGGCAGATATCTATGAGAGCTAGACTAGACTCCACCAGACATGATGAGCAAAGCGACACCTCAAGTACCGTCGAGGAATAAGTGCTCCTTCGAAAAACCCGACAGCCTGCACTTGGACCCTCTGCAAGCCCGCTTCGCAAAACAACCCAAATCCCGAATATTTATCCTTGAAGCCTGCAGCGATTCCTAATTGCTTGACTAGGGTTTAGGGATGGTCCTGCGTGAAGCTAGGATGCACCTCGGGGAATGACGAATATCCCCCCCCCCCCCAAAAAAAAAATTGAGTAAGCCTGCAAGGCTAGACCTATTCGCTGTGTTCGTGCTGGCAAAGACCCACACTGTGAATGTTCGGACCCTCGGTGCATGAACGGGCCGTTCGCCCCCAAACCCCGAACTGTCTAAACCCTAAACCCTAAACCTGAAACCCTGAGTTCTGAATCATAAAGCAACTAATCCAAACCGTTGCGGAATGCTCCGGAACAGCTTTGGGAGGCGTCGGCGCCGGCTTGGGAGCCTCTTGGAAGCTGGTGGACATCTAATTCAGGGGCCGTAATAATTAGAATAGGGCTTAGGGGTGCATCATTCTATCATTACAATAAGGAACCCCCAAAACCCCAGTCTAATTATAAAGGCCCCTACATAATGCATGACGTAAACACCTTTGCGAAACCCAAAGGGTCCAAGTAGTCCTCATATATGGTTAATTGTGGGTGCCTAAAAGGGCCTAGAATAGGGAGAGTACTTGGACCATTGGTTGAACATATCAAGGTATGAGAGAGTTTGTGAAAGGAACCCTTCTAGTACCCTTTAAAGGAACCCTAAACCCTACAGATCCCGTTAAAGGGAGATCAAGTAGCTAATATTCTACTGCGATACCACACCCAAAGCTGCAGTGCAATACCACAACATGAGAAACTCTAGACCATGTACCTATAATATAAACATATCATGTATACTGTATGTGTGAACCAATGTCTTTCTACAACGGTTTAACGAGATGCAGCATAGTAACATACATGTAGAGTATTATACAAGGATAGACATGAATACACCATTTCCCAATTTCCCACCTTGCCTGCCTTCCTGCACGGCTCCCTGCTTACCTGCCTGCCTACCTAGCTACACGTGCCTTCGTACGATTTTACCTACCTACCGACCTGCCTGCCTATCGCGCTGTAAAAACAGAAGCAGTGCAACCACCCAAGAAACCCCGCCAGGATGTCGGACAGTGATGATTCGGGCTGCTACATAAGTCATCGACTGATGCCGGACCACTGCACCCTGGACTTAACAGAACCCTAGACCCTCCAGTCATCAAGCCCCAGACCAGCCCAGACCATCCAACAAATCCTTATCTTAGGGATCCTAATATGATTTAAGGCCTATACCGCAAGCAGGGGATTTTGTAAGGTCTGGGAGAGCCCCATGAACTCCCGAATGCTCCTGCGAAGTCGAGACAGGCGGAGGCGCCGGCATCGTGGACTCCTCCCAACAGACTCATCAATATGGGAGTTTCCGAAAGAAGGGCTACCTTATTTTGGGGCCCTTATCATAAGGATCCTACTACTTATGGTACTATATCAGGGTCCCCTGTTTTCGGAAACTCCCATATACTATTCGGGCCTGCCTGTATACAGTATACGTAAGGTTTTAGACTTCCTGTACAAGACAGTTCAAGTTAGGCTTAGCGCGGGGTGTTTACTATCGTTCCTGTGCAGGACCATTGTAACTTCGATGCAAGGAGCCTGGTCATGGACAACCCTAGCATAAACCCGAAGCAGTCTAGGTGCAGTCGACATTCCAAGCCACCGAGCTTTGGGAAACACCGAACCCCCTTGCTTTGACTGGAATCCGACAAAGAGCTTGACGCTACCCACGGCAGTGAAGCTGCAGAATTTGATTTTCGAGTGATGTACATATGAAGGACCTAGAGCTCCAAATGTTTAATGGCCCGATGAATGGAACAGCTCCTACAAAGGCGTAGTTATTAAGGGCCTAGAATTCCGACATTTTCACAGACCTTATGAATGGAACAGCTCCTACAAACAAAGGCTGTTCAGAGGCTCCCTCGGAGCCGTTGATGCCACGGAGGAGCGAGGCGCGGGCGCCTCCGCAGTGTCTTTGTTGCGATGTCGGGCTCGGAGTTGAAGGATGTTTTTTTGGTTGAGGGTTTGAGGTTCAGGGTTTAATCAATAGGATTTATAACATATAATTATATGTGCATATATGTATATATATATAATATATAGTACAATATAATTTATATGTGTGTATATATATATATATATTTCTTTAGCTCAGGGTTTAGGGTTTGGGACAGGCCCAGGAAGTCTCAGAGTGCAACCTTGATATTGCTGAAGCTCGCCACCAGACGGCAAAGTGCAACTCAGAAGCCTCAAACCTAGTGGGTAAGACACAACCTACCGGAGGCATGTGTACCGAGCTTTGTAACGAAGATCACCTACAAAAAACCCCTATCCATCCCTGCAATCATAGCAACACCAAACGAACCATCATTATAACAGTGCTTGCGCTGATATCTGATAGCAAGGACAAAGTAAGGACCAGTGCATTGCAGCACGGTTGCTGTGGCCTTCGCACCTCCGAGACGCACCAGGGGAACCATCCCTTGCAAAACCCCAAACCTCCAATTAGAGTTTACCGTAGAAGCCAGAAAGTTGGAATATCATTATCGTAACCCCTTTAAGGTAAATTATAGGGGATCCTACCATTAATCCATATTCCAACTTTCTGGAGTTCCTTTTAGGGCTTAGGGTACCCCAGATCATAAGCAATGAAGCAATTTTCACATCACATGCCCAAGACTCTAAGCTTGCCTCGAAACCGTGCAGAAGCAAAACATCTCTGAACCCCACCACTGCCACTCAACTGCCTGAACATACTGTTCCAACATGCCCTGCAGCCTGACAAAACCCTTGGCCCTGAATCCTGAACCCTAAGTCCTAAACGCCCTGAGCCCTAAACTCCAAACCCGAACCCCTAAACCCGAAACTCGGAACCCTAAACCCCCGAATCCGAAAC